ATGATTTATGATTTTCAAATATTTTTTGCTTTGAATCAAAGCTTGTAATGTTGTGATTCACCTCGTAGATGGTTTTGGTTCATGGATTATAACTCGATTATAACTCTATAGCAACGAAGACATAAAAAACATATGGGAAAAATACTTCCAGAACCAAGGCTGCTGAAAAACTGGGAAGGCACTAATGCACTCTATGTTAGACTCATAGGAAGTGTTGAAAAAAAACCTGTTTGAAAGCAGCCATTGTTATTATTTTTTTCTAAGTCAAATTTGTTTCCATGCAGAATAAAAAATCTAGGTGTGCCAGTTGAGTTTTTCTCACCTATAAAACATTATTTTACATGACCTTACACATTGTTGTTAAGCATAATCAGAGTAATATCGCACCTGCAGATGCTCTGCAGATTTTCTACGGTTTGTGTCTGCTAACCGTTTTCTTAATCTATGATTGTGCATCTGTCTCTCTTACTTTGCCTTCTCTGACATTCCCCTCACATCTCCCTGCTTCTTTCACTCTTTTAAAGTGGATAAAAGGTCTCATTCGATTAATTTGAAAGACTGGTTAGGCCTGGTGACACGTGAGCCGCCTAATGGAGCTGCCACATTCTCGTAGTGTTGGCCAGATTCATTCCCATACATCCCCCTTTATTCCTCCATCTTTAATTCTCCTGCTTCTCCAATTACCCCAGATAAGCCCTCACATATGACAGGTATACCCTTTTCAAGCACACAAGATAAATACAGATATTTGTTAAATGAACACAAAGAGCATCATGCGTGTCATACGGGACTACATGCCAAGAAAAGGTTAATAAAATCATTAGATGATGGACTGCAGAGGGCCTGCAGCAAGACGAATACAGTTGCCGGCCCTTGTAGAGCGCGAGACTGCCAGGTGCCTGCTGTCTGTTATCTTTGTGTAGCTGCCATATTAGACTGAATGTGCAATGTAACGTGAAATGAGGGCATGTGGACTGTAACGATGGAGAGCGAATGATACAACTGCCTATGGGGGCTACAGTATGGCGGATGGAAAATTCATGAATACCAGTCAAAAGTTACCGCCTCTCAAACTATTGTTATAAAATAAGTAATCAACTTTAAAGGATTACATGTATGGTGTTAATGTAATAATGTATCCAAAAAAATATTGATTTATTTATTTTGTTGTCTTCCTTATTATTACTATTAATAATCAAATGAAATAAAATGTGAATATACAGTGAATTATACCTGTATAATGAAGATTTCCTTGACTTTTTTTCTTATTGAGCAGGATGTGTGAGATTATATTTTATGAAAAGTGACAGGATGAGTTTGATCGTTGTTTAACTCTTTTTTTTTTTTACTTAGTGAAAGATCCACTTTTTGTATCCTACTGATTTCTCTGAGCCTTTTATTGCTTACTGCTTTTCCTTCTTGAGATTCACATCAGGAACATGCAGTTGGGCTCCAGTAATGTTTATTCTTCCATTACTGCCCAAACGCCGCCAAATCTGCGACAGCTGCCACTTTCCTGAGGGAAGGGCAACCAATCTTCCCAGAGCGTGTCACCGTGATATATTTCCCACTCTGTCCTTTGACTGAGTATTCGTTACGGCCTTGCCTTTCAGGGAGGCGACCAGCACCTCCACATCCTGCCAAGCGCTGCTGTTAAATCATGTAATCTCCCAGAAGCATAGGAAAGAACAGCCACATCACCCGCCAACGCACAACACCATGGATGGGGGAAACAAACTCAAAACAATAGCACACCATATTTTATTTCACTCTTCTTATTTCCAAGAGTTGCAGTAGCCTGTGGCATGAATGGGGACCGTTTGAGGGTATTGATTGTTGGTTTGCTGTTAGCTCTACTCTGGCATGTGGGTATTGTAAATGCAGCATTTTTCGCAGACAGGGGCATTTGTTTCTCCTTGCTGGAGGGCAGCAAGATCCCAAGCTCTATTGCTCTCTCAGTCAAACTGTCCATCTGCTTGTAATACTTGTTGTCATTGGGGAGTGACCGCTGTTACAGAGTATATTAAAGCAGCAGAGAAATTGATCAGGAGGTTCCTGTAGCCATAACATGGCTTGCCACTTTTATTGGATGGAGACAGTGAAGAAGAGAAAGGAAATTATTAGGGATTGAGACAGGGATGGGACAGGGTCTGCTTGGATTCAAATCTGTGTGAACATCTCAACTCAGCATTAGCAGTAACTGCAAGGCCATGGCTCTGTGCTAACTGATGCTTTCAAACAAAACTTGGTCCCTATTCAAATTCATATTCAAAATCTTTGAAAAGCTGGATGGACACTCTGTGGCAAAGGTGCCAGATCATGCTCCTGGAAGGCCTCCTGTAACATGGCCTGTAGATATGGGAAGAAGGAGGTGGAAACCAGCTTAACTTAACCCTCTGGGGTCTGAGGGGGTTTTTGGGGTCCTGGAGAAGTTTTGAAATGCCATAACAATTGTGCTTTTTTCAGTTTCTCATAAAAATATTAATGGAAATAAAGTTTGTGTGTAGTTAGTGGACGTAAACTTTAATTTCCAAATGAACACTAAAATAAAACAAGTGCACAAAACATAAAATGTCCCAGGCCTAGCCCTCTCTCTTCCTCCATTTTTGTCACTCCTCCTTACATCCTTCCAGAGCTCCTTCATAGAACTCAAGACCGGTGTGGCATACAGGTGAGTTTGAGCAGGGTTGGAGCTAAACTCTGCATACCAGTGGGCCTCCAGCTCCAGGGCCTCCAGCTCCTGAAGACCTCCGTTCTACAGAGTTCAGCTCCAACCCCAGCTAAACACACCTAAACTTGCTAATCCTGGCCTTCAGAATTAGAAGGAACTTCCAAGCAGGTGTGGTGGATCTAAACTCTGCAGGAAAGTGGCCTTCCAGAAGCAGAATTGGACACCCCTACTTTACAGTTCCACAGTACTCAAAAAATTTGCTTTGGTTGAAAGGACGAGATCTCTGTGAGCATCTGAAATCTTTCAGCCCTCGTTCTATACATAATGTTTAGTTAAATTTTTTCGTGTGGATCTTCATTCATACCTTGTTTGGGACAGGAACACATTGCATCTCCATACTGTAATGAATCAATGCGTTCATGTCTTCAACTGCCTCATCTGGCAGAAGATAAGAACTGCTTGAGATGTGTTCTTTGAGGCCGTGGATAATTGTATTTTATGGAATTGCTCATGATGTTCCTCAAAGGTTCAGCTGTGGGTTAGCAGATCTTTTTAATCTTTCTTTCCTCCAATGGGTTGCTACGAAAAGTTGCTATATCTTTTTCTTCATCTAATAACATCTTCAAACTGAAGTAGAATCCTCTCTAAAGTGTAATACCTTGTTCTAATCAGTGACCCTATTTCGGCAAAATGTGGACATGTGAATACATCTATTTAAATGCTAATGCATTCATGCGAATATACGTTTATAGACGTCTTGATAGGTAATGCTAAGAAGCACTACAGGGCCCTGCTTTAGCCGGTCTGAAACACTCCCGAGAGTCGACAGTCCCTTCACAGAACTACTTATTAAGAGTTTCTCTTTGATGGTCCTCAACCCTGGAGGTTTGACCACCTCTTCTGAACAGATCAGACGTGTTAAGCAGCTTTTTCCTCAGCCCAGAGAGAGAGAGAGAGAGGGGCTCAGACTTATGGTTCATAATACAGGACACATTTCTGAGCCAATTCTGTGTGTTTGTGTACTGAATTTAATGCAAGTAGAGGGTTGAATTTAATACTACACACAGTCGTCATGCAGGACTATAATGGCCCTGAGCAGTCAGAGGCTTAAACAACAGGAGAGTTAGTTCAGCCCCGAGGGCTCAGACTTTGTAATGCCAGCAGAATCAGAGTGAGTGTGCTTCACTTAAGCTCCCAAGATGGTGAATTATAGTCTCCACCTTCATCCTGTGAAGATGTGGCTTTTTGTTTATGGTTCCCCTGTAAGTATTGATGTAAACCCTCTATCTGCTGGCAAGCATTATATAGAGATGGGAAATGAAGGAGAGATTGGATGGAAGGAATGCTTGTTTAGGTTTCACTTGAATAAACCGGAGTCAGATGGGCTTGCAGGTTGCAATGGATGCTTACAAGCAGTGTGGACAGACATGCTATCAGTTAAAGCTCTTTGCCGCTGTAGGGTAGTATGAAGGCAGCAGATTGCCTGTTCGCTCTGTTGCCTTTGCGATCCAACAAGCTCAAACATATGCTTTTTGCTTTCTTTTGGCATATGAATGCAGCATGTACACACAGATGTTTAGTTTCTCTTCATCTACCTGTACACACGCCTTTAGAATTAAGCAGAAATCTCTCCACTGATCAAGTGAGCAAAGGAAGGATGTTAAGAAGTATCAGTTAAAGAAAAATCATATGTATTGCCATGCATTTTTCTTTTCAGTGAAAGTGTAATTACTGGAATAGTAACTGATTAAAATGAACAGAAGGTCCAAAGTAAATGACACATTTGTTTACACATTGCATTTATCATAATTTTTGAAAAATATAATACAGTATATTAAATATCACCTTGGCTTGTTTTTGTTGTTTGGCTTGTTATTTTTAAATCAAAATCCAAAAATGTGAGACCTGCTCCTGAAGAAACGATACTCAAATTCTGTTTCAACCAGTATACAGAGGTTGTGTGATCTCTGTGCTCCAAATCATGTCTGAAGTTGTTATCCACTACTGAAATTGGGGTATTGTGAAATTCACATCAAAGTGAGGTTTTTTTCCCCCTCACTTTTTTTCTCTCTCTCTGTAGGTAACATCAACGAGTGCACACTGAATTACTACTTCTTCCTCCTGGCCGCCAATCAAAATCCAAAAATGTGAGACCTGCTCCTGAAGAAACGATACTCAAATTCTGTTTCAACCAGTATACAGAGGTTGTGTGATCTCTGTGCTCCAAATCATGTCTGAAGTTGTTATCCACTACTGAAATTGGGGTATTGTGAAATTCACATCAAAGTGAGGTTTTTTTCCCCCTCACTTTTTTTCTCTCTCTCTGTAGGTAACATCAACGAGTGCACACTGAATTACTACTTCTTCCTCCTGGCCGCCATTCAGGGAGTCACACTCCTCGTCTTCCTCATTGTGTCTGTGAAGTATGACAAGCAGAAGCCCAAAGCAGCGAGCCACAGGGCGTCTCTGACCAACTCATGACCCCTCATCATCCTCACCAGCCTTACACAGCCGTACGTTCACCTTCATTCCTCAGCCACCAAATCATTTGCCAAATATTAAACGTCGTAGTATTTCAAAAACGAGGTTTTAAAATATTTGATTCGAAACTTGAAACCCCGTTTACTGGAATTGGCTATTCTCTTGCCATTTTAAACACGCAAGACAATTTAAAAAAAGAAAAGAAAGCAATAATTAGCTAAAGAACAAATTTCATATGAAATGGTTGGAAATGAGGTTTGCCCACTCCATCAGTGAGCTGGATTATATAATGCTTGTTTATTGTAGTGTATACTTTGGGCAACACTTGTTCCAAATTTGATATTTTTGTTGTTTTGACTATGTCAAGATTTATAAATTTACTTGCTCATAAATTGAAGGTTTTTAAATTGAATATTTATTGAACCTTTTATTTTTGTAGTTTATGCTCAACAGGGTAAGACAATACTGTTCTGATTTATTTAAATTTGTGCCTCTGGGCATGTTTTTATGGTACACTTTTTTTTTTTTTTTAAACACAATTTTAACAATACTTTAAAAACATTTTTTTCCCTTCTCCTTTAGTTCAGGCACCGTTTGCACTGTGTTGTGTATCTTTGGTCACTTTATTTATTTTAATTTGAAATAGATACTAATTGGCTCTATTTTTTATGCTGTTGATGCTAATTGGCTGATGTTTAAAATGACAAATATGGTTGGCTACTCATTTCAGATGGTAGTCAATAAATTGCAAGGAGCCCATACAGTATTTCCTAAACATCAGTTAAGTAGTTGGAAAAAACATCAGTGCAAAAGACTTGAACAATTGTTTTTTTTAAATCACATTTAGTTGTGTCCTTAACAGTTTGATTAAATTTGTAACTTTAGTACTAAACCTGTGGCATTACAAGTGTTTCTCACGTTTAGATATTTTATCAGGCATTAGATTTCTACTAGCTTGTTTTTAATGATTTTGATCATAAGTGGTAAGGCCAAGCAGTCCATTGCTCTTTATAGTGGTTATGATATGAGTGTATCATCTGAGAAATTATGAATTTGCACAACAAGTGCTGATATCATGAAGCACACAGCTCAGCTGACGTCTTTACAGCAGGAATATCTGAATATGAATAGTGTTTCCTTTGGAAACACCTGCGTCTTGTTTGTAATAATTCATGACCTTTTTAGATTTGTATTAGGATTTTTGATAAACAACAAACCTCAAGCGCAGATTTTCATCTGAATGAGGTAGTGAATGTAGTGAAATTACATTAGCACTAATCTCTAGTGAAAAATAACATGTTTATAATTGAGTATACAGAATCATGAGTTTTACATGCAGGCTTATGATACATCCTATAAAAACGTATACCTCAGCTTCATAATGTCATCATGCTGTAGAAGGGCGTCTTGCATGATGTAATTTTCATGCAAATTTTGCAACGACAACCCTGTTTTTTGCTGCTGTCTTTGCTTTGACCACAAGCTTAACAAAATAGTAACAACACTCCCATTATGCTTCTGTGTTGGTTCTATGTTTTAATACACAGGTAGTTCCTGTGGTTTGTGTTGCACTTTTTCAATAGATGCACCTTGTGCCTTGTGCCTTCAATGCCAGAGTTGCTCCACGTGACTCTAGAGCAGTTTGAATTTGATCAAAAATGGTGAAATATTAAAAGACACACAGTATGAGGAAAAGGCATCATTCATTTTAACTGGGCATATTTAAATGCTGATTTAAAGCTTTTTAAATAAGTTAATTAATTTTGTTTTCCTCAAAGAGTCTGTTGTCATGAAATGTGACATTTTCTAAAATGCATTTTGAGTTTGTGCAGTGAAAACATACATTGTGAATTTTTTTCATGCTTTGTTTGTGTATAAAATGAAATGGTTTTTCCTTTTGTTGTTCAATAAAATGCATTTGACCTCTAGTGTTTGTGTCTGAGAGAGCAGTTTCAATATGAGTCTCCCATTTATTACAGCTCTCACATATTCCTTTCGAGTATACGTCAGGAACACTAGAGTGTGTAAGTTAACGTAAACACTGATTTCATCAGATGAGCATGAAATCAGAACATCGTCGCTCTTCAGCCAAGCATATCTAGACTGACGAGTCGTTTCCTAGGAGTGTGACCGTCAGCGAACTGTTTGAACTCACAGCTCTTTCTCTTCCTCTCTCTCTGAGTCATACTGTTGACAGCCTATATATTTCTACCACCTCCACATTTTTACAGTGTTATGCTCTATTTAAAAAAGCAGAAAGAGCGTAAGGTGTAAGCACAGTGTATGAATTATGGATGCTTTATGTGAGTCTGTTAACCTGTCTAAGGTCAGTGTTCCCAAATGACTCTCGTCTTGTAAGCGAGGCTGATACGCCTCAATAAAAAAGGTTTGAATTTGTCTAACATGAACCCTATTTTGATATTTGCAAATATCGCTTCATATACTGCATTCAAATTGGCAAATGTCTTTTTTTTAACTATAACTTCTAATTCTAACTGCTAATAGCTTATTTATTCAGCTTTTAGCTCTGAAGAGTACATTTCTTATTTAATTGTGACGTAATATGAAACGCAAATAAATCTATATTGTATGTGGTAAACAGGACAGAATCAGGATTCTGTAATTAATCCTAAAGCAGTCCTTATACTTTAATTTATGGGAAATATGATTACCATATTAATAGAATAACTATAATCCAGC